AGAAAAGCCTGGGCTGCTGGAGGGGAGGGGGCACTAGCTGCGCTCCCCCCCCAGCAGACCAGGGAGACGTGGAGCAAAGCCACGGAGGACGCCTGCAGCGGGACAGCCCAGGCGCGCCGCGGCTGTCCCGCTGCGGGCGGCCTCCGAGGCTTTGCTCCCCGTCTACCTGGTCTGCTGGTCGGGACAGCCGCGGCGCACCTGGGCTGTCCCGCTGCGGGCGTCCTCCGCGGCTTTGCTCCGCGTCTCCCTGGTCTGACCAGCAGACCAAGGAGACGGGGAGCAGCTTTTCTCACCCCGGAGAATGCGGGCGGTGGGACGCGGCTCATCTGGGCGTCCCGCCGCTCCCGTTCTCCGGGGCAAGAAAAGCCCCGTTCGTAACTGCGGATCCGACATAAGTCGGATCCGCGTAACTCGGGGACTGCCTGCATATAGTTCAGCGTGTTATCTTTATACTGTGGAAAGAGAGAGACATATTCCCATGAGACAAAACTTTAATAAAATGGAATCAGGAGAGATAATAGCAATTACAATTCAATTACTTATTCTAAAACAGTGAGTTTATTACTACAGCTCCAGTATCTTGTTAGAGACTAGTCTTCTGAAGTGCTGTGCTTTTTCATATCTCATTCCATTCACCCTCCTGTCTCAAATCATTATTTAGTCCAGTGCTTGTTCTCATATGGATTAATCATAACTTGTGGTTTAGTCTTTTCTACCTTCTATTCTCCTTTGAGTTTGCCTGGGTTGTAGAGAAAACAGAAAGAATATTCTAGCACTTTATCTCCAGCCAAATTACTAATTTTTTTAAAAAAAAGCCAATCTGACATTCTATGCAATTGCTTCCATTTAGCTCTCCCATTCAAAAGATCCCTGAACTAACTGTCTGTGCTCTCTACAAGCATTTGAGGATCAGGACTATTTCCCCCCAAGTTCTGAATTTAGTAACTGAAAATTTAATGTATTAGAATAAGCCTTGTGCATTCTCCCTATGCATTTTGGCCACCACACTGGCTATGCAATGTCAACATACACTTGTCCAGTTGTAGGTATAATATGAGATATAAGATATTAAAGTTTCTATGTAACTATCTCCTTGCTCCAAAAATTAAACACATTGAGGAAAAATGTCAGTTGGTACTTTTAGTTAATAGGATTTCACAGAATGAACACTGAATGAGTCCCATCAAAAGTGATAACTTTCAATATGTATAAGAATCGGGAAACTTAACACCCCTTAAGGCTGAAGATCCAGAAATCTGGAGATTTTAAATGAATCAACATCCTAATTTTGCATTTAGACAAACATGGAATGACAAATGAATTGTTATCCATTTGAATTCAAAATTCACCACCTTTTTTATCTCCCCTTTCTTTCTCTCCAGTTCAGTCATAAATGCTCTCAGAATTGTCCTTACAAGTAGAGGAAGCTGTAAGAATCACTTGTATTATGAGAGAAGACTAGATATCTATGTAAACAGCTAATAGAAAAGGTCTCAGTTTATGTAGTTATTGGGTTTTGCAGGAGAAATAAAAATTTGTGTGTACTACGAATGGTTTGCTCTGTGCAGCTTATTACATCAGTTCATAAAAAGCTGAAAGCCCCTGGGGAGCAGCTATTGATGATGAGGGAGCTCTTGTTGCACCTATCCATCTTTCGTATAGGAATTAAGGCCTGTGCAAAATGAACCCAAGTTGAGTCAAACTAATTAAAAATACATATATATAATCTGTCCAGTGTGACATAAATCAATGCTACACAGTGTGGGAGGGAAGTTTAAATGTCTCCTGTGGTTTCTGACCTCCTCAGTAGAAGGATTGGGATAGGAACCCAAGAATTCTAGCGAAATACCATCCAGGAAAATTCTGCTTTCCCCTCCACTGCCTTAACATTCCTTCTGCTTTTTCAGCTATGGTTGCCTTTCCTACAATGTTGTTTCCTACAACGTTCCTTTTGGACCATGGTCGTTGCTCTGGGGAGATCCAGTTTCTTTCCTTTCACTGTTTAACAACTCCCACTTGGAAAATCATGTTGCACCCCTGGTACTGCTGCTTTAATTTGCTGAGCTGTAGCAACCAGGGCCTGCTGTCCCTACTACCCCTGAATGTATAGGCACCTTGCTGTGGTTTCTTTCTTCCCCACTTTATGTTTCTTTAAGGAGGCAGCCTGTTGCATGAAGCCCTTTATTGAGCCTGCACATGAAAATGAAAGGTCTAAGTTGCCACTTAGACATATCCACAGAGAGGGTATTAAAAAGCGAGAGGCTCCCAAGGAAGATTCCATTTAATAAGGGAGATTTAGCAAGTTTGCAATGAAATGTAAAGCATAGAAACCTTCATGAGCAAAGATGCATGGGGATATATTGTAATTAGCAATATATATTCAAAATCTACCCAACTAAAATTCTTTCCAGCTCATAGAAAGTATATAGTTTAAAGACATGTGGGAGGACTATGAGCTAGAACAATTATTCTGGTTTTGCTGTCCTGCTCTGATTTGTTCTACTGTCTATTTGATTTTTCAGATATCTATATTCTTTTTTAAAAAGCCAACATTCTTAAAAAATAAATGATTTCCCACACATAACATAAAGATACACAGTTGTTTTCAGGATATGCTTATTGTAAAGGTGACCAATCTTGGATATCATTAACGTTTTCAAAGTGTCAAGAATGATTAAAAGCCTATTGATCTTAGTTTATTGGGCCATTTGTAAATTATAATTCAAATTTAATTCTCATTGTTTTTCCTGTTCAGCTGTGTGTGTAACTGCTGTTATTGCAGAGGACAGTAACATATGAAACTTTCTTTACATATGACAGAAATTTGTCACAAAGAGAATGCATAGCTCAGTTTACTTACACAAGTCAGAAATGACTACTCAGAGTTTATGGTAGATAAACTATACAACCAGAGTGATGTCAGTGTAAAGCATCTACTGAACTGCGGTAAATATTATATGGCATCCTAGAAATGCTCCTTTGGGGATTCTCTGCATAAAATATATAGCTGATATTGCTCACTCCTGTGTTGCTGGCAATTATAGAAACAGTGTTTATTTCAAAGTAAGCATTTATTCCTGATACTGAATTGCATCTTTCTTTATTCTGTTCTCCTTTACTTTGTTAAAGGGAAATGTAGACGACTAAAATTTTTACTGAACTTATCATTACCTATTGAAATTGTACCGAGAATCATTTCTCGGTCAAGATTCTGTGCCCTTCCAAAAAAATCAAATAACATCAGATATCTATAAAGATTGTTTGTGGGGATGTTAGTACTGAACCTCTATAAGGTTAGAAAGAAAATAATTTGATCAGCTTTTCTATAACTAGATTTCTTACTTTAGTCAACAAAAACAAGGGCTCAGGAAGCACCACTAAATTAATTGGGAGTTTTGCCATTGACCTTAGTGGCACTGGGATCAGGATCAGGCTTTAAATGCATTGCCACTCAAGCACAGGAATGTAAACAGTTCAATAGCATTTAGTAACAAACAAGAGGTTCCTTTGCTGTAATTGGATCGTTTTTCTCGTAAAAGACCTCTTTTGAAAAGTAGAGTATCTCCCAAATGTGTTGAAAGCTTTTCTTGTCTGGTGATACAATCTCTTTCTGAAACAAAGCTGAAGCAAAAACAAAAGGTAGTTATTTATCCTGTCCAGTCCTGTATTCCGCGCAGTGTCCTACATGGAAGTTGTGCGTGCACAAGACCTGCAGGATCAGAGCTTAGTGCAATTCCTTTTCAGAAGGATTCTGTCACAGCTATCTTTTCTGTTTTGCAGCCATACAAATTATTGTGTAGTCTTTAAAATAAATGAACTACAATTCGCATGTTATGAGCTTTTATTGTTCTTTCAGTTTTATCTTTAATCTCCCTCCTCCCTCCTTTCCCCCGAAACCTTACCAGGATTATCAACACTGCAAGCCGTTCTGGATTCTGCTGCTGAAAAGAAATGGCAAGTAACTGCTATCAACGTGGGAAATATTAACAATGACCGAAAAGATGAAACATATCGTTCGCTATTTCAAGATCTGGAGGTGAAAAAGGAAAGACGAGTAATACTGGACTGTGAACGGGATAAAGTGAATGACATTGTTGATCAGGTTTGTGATTCTCAATTTTTCAACAGTGGAAATGGAAGATATGGACATAGGAAAGTCAGTGGACGTGATTTTAGCAAAGCTTTTGATATTCTCTCACAATATTCTTGCCAGCAAGTTAAGGGAGTATGGATTGGATAAATGGACTGTAAGATGGATAGAAAGCTGGCTAGACTGACAGGCCCAATGGGTAGTGATCAATGGCTCGATGTCTGGTTGGCAGTCGGTTTCTAGCAGAGTGCCCCAAGGATCGGTTCTAGGGCCAGTTTTGTTCAACATCTTTATTAGTTATCTGGATGAGGGAATGGATTGCACCCTCAGCAAGTTTTCAGAAGACACTAAGCTACGGGGAAAGGCAGATACATTGGAGGGTAGGGATAGGGTCCAGAGTGACCCAGACAAATTGGAGGATTGGGCCAAAAAAAATCTGATGAGATTCAACAAGGACAAGTGCAGAGGTCCTACACTTGGGACAGAAGAATCCCAAGCATTGTTAGAGGCTAGGGACCAACTGGCTAAATAATTGTTCAGCAGAAAAGGACCTGGGTATTACAATGGATGAGAAGCTGGATATGAGTCAACAGTGTGCCCTTGCAGCCAAAAAGGCTAATGGCATATTAGGTTGCATTAAATGGACCATTTCCAGCAGATCTAGAGAAGTGATTATCCCCCTTTATTCGGCACAATTCTGGAGTATTGTGGCAAGTTCTGGCCCTCTCTCCCCCCCTCCCCCCCCCCCCCCCCCTCTCTCTCTCTCTCTCTCTCTCTCTCTCTCTCTCTCTCATTCTCCTACTGTCTCCCCCCTCCCCCTCTCCTGCAGAAGAGAAGAGTGAGGGGGGATTTGATAGCAGCCTTCAACTTCTTGAAGGGAGGTTCCAAAGAGGATCAAGAGAGGCTGTTCTCAGTAGTGACGGATGGTAGAACAAGGAGCAATGGTCTTAAGTTACAGTGAGGGAGGTCTAGGTTAGATATTAGGAAAAACTATTTCACTAGGAGGGTGATGAAGCACTGGAATGGGTTATCTAGGGAGGCGGTGGAATCTCCATCCTTAAAGGTTTTTAAGTCCCGGCTCAACAATGTCCTGGCTGGGATGATTGAGTTGGGGTTGGTCCTGCTTTGGGCAGGAGGCTGGACTTGATGACTTCCTGAAGTCTGTTCCAGCTCTAGGATTCTATGATTCTATATGTGGGCTGTGTAAGCACAAATAGTGAGTGCTTCTGTAGTGCTGCTTCATCAGCAGTTTTAATTTGTGTATGATTCTAATTTGATGCTCATTTACTTTCCCCTTTGAATTTTTTCTATTTTGTTCTATTTGTTTTTACACTGTGCTTATCATTGTGGTATCTGAGTGCTTTTCAGTAGTGCATTAGGCAATATGATTACATACCTGTCACGTGTTTATTCTCTCATCCTCTTCCATGAGGGAGAAGTCTGTGTAGTGGAGTGTCTTGTTCTGGTGGGTACTTTTTTATATCTATAGTGAAGTGTTTGTTAGAAAGGCAAGGTCAAAGATCTGCATCTTGCTATTGGAGAAGGAAGTGGTGAGGGCGATGATGATTTATTCGTCATCAACCATTCATCATGGTTTTTGAATGAAGGGCACTGTTCATTATAATCACAGCTCTATTCACAGGGCAGACATTGGGGTGGGTTCAACGGATTCCTGGTGTAGAAGTTGAGTCTAGCAACTTCTGGAGAATTACAAAATTTTTCAAATGATTTTCAAAGAAAAATTATCTAAATTGGCGGGGACTCTGAAATTTGTTAGACTTCCATACACTGAAGGACTTACTGTGCATTCTGGTGAAATTTAACACTTATATTACTACATAAGTATCCTCACTTTAGAAAGACAGAAAGAGTGATAGAAAATTAAGTGAGTTGACTAGTGCTAGAGAAGAAGTTGAAAGTTCTTGCTGTCAGTGCTACGTATGACCTGCTGGAGTAGGCCCTGTTTATTACCAGAGGTCACACTGACAACATAGCTGTGGAGATGGCTGATTGCCTGATGGAGTTTAGGCAGCACTAGTACAATCTGGACTGCTTCACCCCATACAATGTCATATGGTCTGTGTTCCCACCAAAAACCTATGCCTGTCCCAGTTAATTATGGCAGGTTTGCAATTGAACTTTCTTATTTTAAAAATGTTATTCTGCCTCCTTCAAAAGCTTCAGAGGGGTAGCTGAGTTAGTCTGTAACAGGAAAAACTTTAAAAATGACAAATAGTCTAGTAGCACCTTAAAGGCTAACAAAACATGTAGATGGTATCACGAGCTTTGAAGTGTGTTGCGCCCACGAAAGCTCATGATACCATCTACATGTTATATTAGTCTTTAAGGTGCTACTAGACTATTTGTTGTATTTTAAGTTTCTCCTTCCTGTTACTTTGGGAAAGACCTACACAACAGAATGAACCGATTGACAAATTACAGCAGACTTGCGATAATCCGGCACCTTTGGGACCCAGGGATGCCAAATTATCAGATATGCCTGAGTATCAGGAGATACTCTGGCAGGGGGGCTATGATGGATCGGGGGAGGGTTCAGGTGGGGAACGGCATGGCGTGGGGAGAACCAGGTGCTGGTGAGGGGCAGTGCTGCGGGACCAACTTGGCAGCATCTCAGCTGCTCTTCCCCAAGTCTGCCGCTGGTCAGTTTCAGCAGCGGTGGACTTGGGGAAGCTGTGGGGCAGAGCAGCTGGGGTGCTGCCAAGTGTCGAGCAGGGGGTGAGGGACGGTGCTGTGGGACCAACCCGGCAGCACCCCAGCTGTTCTGCTCCGCACCACTTCCCCAGGTCCGCAGCTGGTCAGTTTCAGCAGTGGCAGCAGCAGACTTGAGGAAGCGGTGCGGAGCAGCTCCAATTGTCTGGCTGGCTAGAGCACTTCCAGGTTCCAGGTGGTGCCGGACTATTAGGAGTGCCGGACCACTGCGTGCCAGAGAGTTAGAGTTTTATTGTATGTCATTGGAGAATCAGTGAGTCTGTCAAATATCCTGTCAAATTGTCTTCTACTTTGTTTACCGAGATTTTTGTTTTCCAATCTTCTGCAGTGGGGTTTACAAAGTAGGTAGAAAAATATTCAGTCAGAATTCTGTTTAAGTTGACAGTGTCACTTTCAGAACCTTATTCTACAAACACTTCCTGCCAAGAGTAGTGCATATTTCTGTTGTACTAATTTGAATACCAAGTATAGATCTTGATTCAGAAAAGTTCCTGAGCATATACATAATTTGAAGCCCACACATAGTCCTATTGAAGTCAATAATGCAGACTGATGAGTCTGCTCATTTAATAGCACTATACTCAGGAAGTGTTTGAAGAATCAAGATTTTAAGTAATATGTGTGGTATGGCAGCTAAAATACAGAAGAGATCATTTAAAAATATAAATGCCACAGATATATTAATAAATGCAGTTTTTATTATAAAATGTATGTATGTATTTATCTGTAGCTTCACTGAAAAAAAATTAATATATTTAAAATTACCTCAAAATCAAGCAACCAAAATACTATCAATGTAAATCCATTGTGTGAGCAATATTTTTGATATTTGTTGCCATTTGATAGCAGATTGATTGCTCTGGGCGTATCCAATTTTTTGCCTGAGTAGTATTTGGGATCTATAGTATCTGTCATTTACAATTTTGTGTGATCATTTTTCGGAATTGTAGTTACTCAGTTCTTCACAGAAACCAATTAATAATAGGAACACTAGTTACAAGTTGACTGGTACATTAATTTTCACCTCCTAAGAGCATTCTGTGAGCAAATATAAATACAGTGATAATGAGCACTAACTATTTTATTTGTAATATATCAGCTAAGATGTAAACATAAATAAATAAATAACTACAATCTTACGTGAAGCGAGTGAAGCTAAAGTTTCTAAAACAAAAGCCTGACTTTATAGCAAATAGATGCAGTTTTGATTGGTAGTCATGTAGATCAACTACCTAAATCTTGCAGGTAGGCATGGCCATTTGTGCCTCCCTTCCCATTCCTTTGAGAGTCAATAAACAGGGAGTGGGCAGTATGGCAAGGATAGGCAAAGCCTGGGCTCCATTTCCCTTTGCCGTCTCCATTTAGTGGTCAGGACAGCTGAGCCAGCACTGAGGGTGTTTCAGTTTTCTGCTGATACTGGCCAATAGTAAATCTGATCTTCCAGGAACAACTAGGAGTCCTGCAGCACCTTAGAGACTAACAGATTTATGAGGGAATAAGCTTTCATGGGAAAAATCCATTTCATAGAGCATAAACTTTCGTGGGTAAAACTCATTTCATTAGATGTGGGTTTTATCTTTGAAAGCTTATGCCCTAATAAAACTATTAGTCTCTAAGGTGCTGCAACACTCCTCATTGTTTTTGCAGACACAGACTAACACAACTACCCTTCTGAGACTGATCTTCTAGAGTAAGCTGGAAGAGATTGTGCTACAGATGTCTCTGAGACACAGTGCTTGCCTGAACTACAATTGGAGTGTTCCTAAAGGTACAGTCTAGTTTTAGGAATTAGTACCTCTCTCTTAAAATCTTGGGGACAAATCTTCAGCTGGTGTAAACTGGCATAGCTCTGTTGATTTCAGTGAATTTATGCTGATTTGCACCAGCTGAGAATCTGGCCCATTATCTTTTTGGGTAAAATAAAGGCACATATCTTGAACAAGCCCAGTAAAAATACTAATTAGTGAACAGAAACAATTTTGGAGTATTTATTCATTTTTAATGAAAACCCATGTACAGCAGACCCATTATCAATTAAAATGAGTTTTCTTTTTCTTTTACAGGTTATTACGATTGGTAAACATGTGAAAGGATATCATTACATCATTGCAAATCTGGTAAGTGAGATCATAATTATCAAAAGTTTCAGGGGGGTAGCCATGTTAGTCTGTAACTGAAGAAGTGGGCTGTGCCCATGAAAGCTCAAGATACCATCTGTGTTTTTGGTTAGTCTTTAAGGTGCTGTGGGACTATTTATTGTTTTTTCCTTATTATCATGAGCCTGTTTCTCTCATGTTTTCTCGTGTTTTCGTTATTATCATGTGCCCGTATTGCCAGCTCATGTGATTTTTGTTTTGAGTGTGAACAGTATTATTTTTTTATGAGCTTGTAGTAGGTTGTTTTCTTTTTTTGTTGTTAGAGAGATGTTAAATGTTTTCTTCCTTGCTAAACGTTTGCTATTTTATTTCGGGATATTTGGGGCTGGTGCTTTCAGGAATTCAGTCCTCACATGTTCCCCTCAATGGGAGCTGAGGGTGCTCAGCCTCTACTGGAAGGTATTCAGCCTTTTCAGGATCAGTCTTTTAAACCATACGCACAAGAGCAGACCAAGTATATGCGGGACTTAAGAGCCTAGCGGCTCTTAATACATTTAAAAAGCAGAGGTGAAGCATCTGGAACCGGGCACGAGCCAGAAATCAGCTGATTCCCAGCTTGCGCCTGGTTCCCAGCTACACTCCTGCCTTCCCTACCACCTCACCCCCCCTCGGAGATGGTGCTGGGGGGAACTGGCTTTTAAGCCAGCCCTTCTCCCCCAGCACCACTTGCTGCTTCCCCCACTTACTGCCGCTATCAGACAGTGGCAGCAAGGGGTGGAAAGCGACTAATTGAGTCATTTCTTGACTCCTCGAAAGCATATGGTTATTGAGTAGTTGAACAGTTGCTTACATTCCTAGTTCTCACTGAAGTTAATGGAATGTGACAGGACAGCCATAGCTGGTCTTTCCTACCTGGGATGTTATATGTGTGGTTAACATGAAAACACAAAAAGAAAAGTAAGTCTAATGCACAAATGTAATATTGCACCAGGAAGTAGCTCTCCTGTGTGGATTGTTCCCAACTGAGGATGATAGAGAGGTTGATATTGGGAATTTCAATCTTTACTTAATATCCTAAATGGAATATAAGGTAAGTACATCTAATTAGCCATCAGCAGACCCACAGATAATTTGAAATGGGAAATCCATGGAAAGCAATCATTCTCAACTTTGAGGCATGATATGTAGTTAATACAATGAATACAATAAAATGATATGTAGTTAATACAATTAATTATGCATTGCCTGTTTATATCAAAACACACCTACGGTTATGATCAAATTCAGAAAGATTGCATGATTCCTATGGAAATGCTCATATCAGGAAGCAACGTGGCATTCACTGTGAGCACAGCAGCTAATGCACATTACCATAGCAATTGTGACAGCTTATGGGTCATGGTTGTTGGTGTTGCTGATTCTTTGTCTATTCATTTTGAAAACATTTTGGGTGCACTTTAAGTTATTTGTCTCAGATCAAGGTTTCAATCAAAATTATTTATCATAATTACCTATGTTGGTTTAGCAGTTACTGATTATTAAAGTAAAAACATCTTTATTTTAGTTGTACAGCTGAATGATAAATACACACCCATCATGGATTGGCAGTTCATTTGCTGAGACCAAATACTTAAGCCAAGTCCTGTTTCCATTGACCCCAGTAGAAGCAGGTTTGAAACCTCAGTCCTTACATTTGTTAAATGCCTATTGAAATCAAAGTATGTTTTTGATTCAGTAAAAAAAATAACTGAAGGATTTGGCTGTTGGTGTGTGGTGACCATACAGTAACTATTAAATCTGCATTCACACAGATTAAAAATATAGAGTCCCAGGAACAAAACTGAGGAACACTCCCCTCTCCCCTTTCCTATGGCATGTCTATAGTCTGGGGAGAAAATCTTACCAAAACTGTTATATCTAGAACACGATTTAAAAAATAAAAAATTGTGCAACTCAGTAAATAAAACTTCAAAGTTGCAAGAAATAAAAATACTTTGGAATAGAGATGTTAAGTAGCAGTTAATTAATTAATTGAGTAGTTGATGGAATTTCCATTGACCACTCGAATAATCAATTAGGGAGGCTTGCTACCCCCCTGCGGCTCTGCCGTTTGAATGTAGTAGAAGCCAGGCATGCAGGCAGCCTGGCTGTTACTACATTTAAAATGCAGAGTTGCAGCGGGGTTGGGTCCTGGGGGTGGCGCGAGCCAGGACTGAACAGTCCCAGCTTGCACTGGTTCTGGACCTCTGCGGCACTACCTCTCCTCAACCCTCCACACTGTGGTGATGGTAATGGGGAGAACTGGCTTTTAAGCCAGCTCCCCTCTGCATTGGCTCCTGCTTCCCCTCCCCCATTGTTGCCTCTGATACAGAGGCAACGAAGAGGAGGGGAAGCGAGTAGTTGAGTAATGATAAGCTAAGCTTATTGGGTAGTCAACTACTCGAGTAGTCACTTACATCCCTATTATGAAAGTATGGAAATTCATGGCTTAGGTACCCAAGCTATCCTAACTCTTCCCTATAACAATTCCCAGAGAAAATTAGAGACTCCGACTACAGATTCAGGCTGCCATCATCTCCTGTCTTAATTACTGTAACCTCCTCTCAGCTCTTTTTGACATGCACTGTATTCTGCCCCTGCCCAGTCTGTTCAAGAGCAGCTGCTAAAATCACCTTGTATTTCTTGCCTGTAATTCTGACCACCTTTAAAATTCTTTAATTGGCTTCCTTTTGAAAGTCCTTAGCTTCAAGTCTGTTTTGCAGCTCTGCTCCTCCCTGCTGTCTACTCTAATCTTTTCTTCATGCAGTATAAAGAAAAAAGATGAGATGGAAAAATCACTCAGCAAGTTTATCAAAATTAACATAATTCCCTTCATTTAATGTGGACAAGTGACGTTTCATAGTAATTCATTTACTCTTTATACTGTGAACACTTGAAACAGGGAAATAGCTAGGCCCTCTAATTCATGTATTTGGTTTCCACAAATTTGTCTTGAAATGACTTGTGTCATTATCTAGGGTGGAACAGCTTTCTTTCTGTGACAGAATAAGAATTCATATCAGCAAAAATAGATCATAGCAATCTTCTCTTCAGTGAGACAATGGCTGACTCAGTGTCACTGGATAGAGGTAGCTTCTGTAGTCATTTTTCATGACGGCAAGCTCTTACCTACATAAGTAGTCCCATTGAAACAATTGGGATTGCTCACCTGAGTAAATGTTCATCATTAAAAGGTCTGCTAAAAGCAGGTTTCAATTGGTAGAGGAGAGTGCCATTGGACACTCTGTGTAACAGTGTTGCCAGCCACTGCTGGCCCTCAGAGTTGGCCTCTGAACTCAGAATTTAAACTCCTATCCCTGACTAACGGGAATGATGGCTTACATTTCTGCAATTAAAATGGTATGATAATTCTTTACTTGTACCTATTGATCTGATAGACATGGTGAAATAACAGATCTGTGTTTTCTGTACCCAGGGGTTTACAGATGGAGATTTATCCAAAATCCAGTTTGGAGGAGCTAATGTCTCAGGATTTCAGATAGTGGACTATGATGATCCCCTGGTATCAAAGTTTGTACAGCGTTGGTCAACACTGGAGGAAAAAGAATATCCCGGAGCACACACCAGCACAATCAAGGTACATTTTTTTATTTATTTTAACTTAGAAGAGAAGGATGGGGGTAAGCTTGGGGAGAAAGACAGAGATAGAGCAAGGCATTTGAAATCAGCCATGCCAACAACATTTTCTATTCCTCCGAGCTACTTTTAACAGTCTCTCCCATAGGGCTTGTTGAACAGAGATCCTGTACTGTCACAAATGTTCAAGACAATGTTAATTTTTTTGTACCAATGTATGGCTGTGCCTAGCAGCATGTTGGGGCAGTTGTTTATGATATAACCATATAGGTTTTGACATTTCTAGGATTTTTTTCTTATTTTAAAATCTATTTCCTAAATCTTTTAGATGAAAACATACATGCACAATCTCAAACACATTCATGATACATATCCCTTGTGGTGGTATAGCACGGTCCTCTTCCTGCAACATCCTGAAAAATAAATGGCTCATAAAATGTGTTGAAAAGCATTGTATTTTGAAAGAGAGGGTTAAGTCCTACAAAATCTGTTTTAGAATTAAAATACACACAAGAAACTTTACGGTATTAAAACAGATTTGAGGTCTGATTTCAGTTCTGAGTGACTCATGGAATTAGTCATTTAATTTCTCCTCTGGAGAAAATCAGGATAATAATACTTTTACAGAGGTAGTGAAAGGATCAATCTATGTTAGTAAGGCAAATTGAAGATGAACAGTACTCAGTTAATAGTTAATAATTTTAGGATTTATTTACAGATTCAGCACAATTAAATAAGAAGCTGAAGGGAAAATACATTTTGTGACAAAAATGTGTTTACATGAGGGATGTTAAATTTCAATTAATTAACTAATCAAATAGTTGATGCAATTTGCCCTGGCTCTGTTGATATACTTCAAAGGTGAAAGCACTGCAGGCACTGAGCCAATGAGGGACTCAAACAATCCCCTGCTGGCTCTGCACTCCCCATGGCATTGCAAAGTAACAGCGCCGCATAGAGACTGGGGTCAGCTGGGAACTCTGAGTCTGAAGCTGATTCCAGGTTCCACACTGTGCTGCCACTTTGAAATGCTGCCTGCAGACCAGGGCCAGCTGGGGATTCCCCCACTGACCCTGGGCTCCATGCAGCGCTGACACTTTGAAACACCGAGTGCAGCCTGGCTCTGTGCTCCATGTGGCATTTCAAAGCGGCAACACTGCTCGGAGCCCAGCATCTGGCCCCAGACTCCATGCGGTGTGGCTGCTTTGAAGCACCCCCTCCGTTTCTCCCACACACACTTGTTGCCTCTTTCTGATAGAGGCAGCAGGAGGAGGGGGAAGTGACTAGTCGACTAGTCATTCAAATCCCTAGTTTAGATAAATAGCATGTTAGCATTAATATGTCATATGAATGAACCTTAAGAAAAAGATAACAATTCTCATCTGATGTTAAAAATTCTCATCAGGACTGTGAATTTAAAAAAAAAACAAAAAGTCTGCAGCAACAATAATATAATATAAAGTAGAAATGAAAATAGCTGGTTAGTTTATTGGGACACATTTTTTTTTCTGACTCAGTCAAGGACATTATTTTATTTCAGTTACCTTTGGGCATGTGATTGGTTAAAACAGTTAGGGGTGCAAGAATCTCTAATCCAGTTTCCAGAACACAACAAGGTTAAGAGTGTATCCTGCCTCCATTCACATGTTTAATTTGCACTTGTGCACTGATTGAAGATATGATGGTAAATTATGAAGTATAACCTATATGTTGTTCTCTTCCAAGTTATTTTAAAACTGCTGCTTTCCGTAGGCCCCATTTTTCCCTCTTCCTCATGCTGAACTACCTTACTCCTCAAATAACCACATTTAAATTGATTATAGTCTGGAAATTATATTTTACAATGAAAGACTTTTTGCAATGGAAGACAAAAGAAGCTCAAGCTATTTTTCTCCAATGGAAGTAGGTGGAGATGTCATTTGATCAATGTGGTATATGAGGAAGTATTAGGTTTTTATATTGGTTAATATCAATAAAGGTCAATTTCACTAAGTGAGCACAAATGGATGAAAAAATGTTTCCGTCACTAATGATTGAAATTTGGAGGTAAACAAAGTAAGAAAAAAGATGCTTGAGACCTTATTAGAGTTTAATTATATTTATTTTGCATACGATATGTATTTTGCATTTATTGATATATAGGTCCCAATCAAATTCACGATCATGAAAATGTATCATGGGTTATGAAATCGGATCTCTGCCTCTGAAATCTGGTCATTTATTTATTTTTATCTATACTATACAGATTTCTTGTGAGACCCCAGAGTTTGTCAAATTGGAGGGTCCGATCCAAAAGGGAGTTGTAGAAGAGGGAGTCACAAGGTTATTTGAGAGGGATTGCAGTATTGCCACCCTTACTTCTCCACTACTGCCAGCATCTGCACTGCCTTCAGAGCAGGGATGTAAAGGGTTAAGCATTCCCTTTACCAGAGTAACTAGTTAACTGGGCGGGAGCTGCTCTGGAGCATTCTCCTCCCTCCCCCGTCCATGGTGTGACAGTGGGCTCGGCTGGATTAGAACAGCCCCCCTATCCGTGTCCCGCCACCTGCAGCAGCACAGAACTAAGGGTAGCAGTACTACATCTCCTCCCCAACAATAACCTTTGGAAGCTTTTGGAAGAATCCTGCCTGCTGGAGGCAATATCCTATGCACCCACTACTACATTCTGTTGGTATAGCATTTTACCCTGTCAGTTCACAGGAGAACAGAGATATGCCGTACACCATTCCCTGAACAAAGGGGATAGAGCAGAGCAGAATGCTTTCAATACCATGGGCTATGCCTATATGGCACAGTTTTGTCTCAAGGTGGTATGCATTAATAATATTTAATCACATTATTCAAGTGTAAGTCCAATGGTCATGTCCCACATTCTGTATCAAATGGCCATGAGACTAATAGGAGTTTTCTATTATAGATATGTAAATTAAAGGTGGTTACATTCCCCAAGGCTAGTCACGGCAGACGCCATCTGGTTGGTGGCTGTGGTGCTACTGCTGCCTTGTGCTCTTCTTATTAGCATGTAACTGGAATCATAAGGGGCCACTTTACACGATAAAACGGAATGTGGTGCAAAAAAGTGTATTTAAAGGGGAATGCACTACTTCATAAAAATAAAAATTCTTGAAGCCCAACTCAAAAATTACCCAGAACAATATCGCTAGTGCTATCGCTAGTGGATCCCTTTCTTTTTAATGCCATTTTTAAAACATAATATTTAAATAAATGGGGATTGCAGAGTCTTAGAGCATAAATGATATAGATTTGGGCAACCTGATTTTGTCCACTAGACCCTAATCAGGTAGGTCTGTTGTAAATGAGGTTAAATGTTGTTTTGCCTTATCATTTTTAACATATACTTTTGAATATACTGAAGCCCATGCTTTACTGGTTTGGGACTCAGCATCCTTCATTAATTAGTTGTAATTAAGGTTGTTCTCATTTTCCATTTACATTTCTAAAACAGCCTGTAGCCTGTGGATCTTCCCCTCTTTAGATCCCCACTGAACTGAAATCATGGTTATTGTCCTTATCACACAGCAAAAGTTACGTTTAATTTTGAAAATGTAAAACAAAACTTATAATAATAACAAGCACAAAGTACTATCAGATTCATTATTACCGTGTATTGCCTCCAGCTACACAGAACACAGAAATAAAGTCCATGCCCTGAAGAACTACATGCGCAAATCATGCATGCACATATAATAAATCATGGCCATATCATACATATAAAGATATCACTGATATCATCTGTGATCAAATCTGGGACCTGCTGCAGCAAAAGCAGAAGCACCTGGTAGGGATGTAAAATCCCATTTAATTGGTTAACCAGCTAAACAATATGTTTAACCAGTTAAAGGGGGTCTACATGCTGTGGTGCTGGGGCTGCACCTGCAAGGATACAGACAAGGCTTGCAATGGCAAGGCAGGCCAGGGTATACCCGCAAGCATGGCAGCTCCAGCATCCCATCTGAGCAACACCTGCCTGAAGGGCGCTTGGGCCTGCTGCAAACAGTGACTGCTCCAGCCTAACCTGAGTAATCTCTGTCCACAGTGAGCCCCCTGTGGGGCAGGAGCAGTCTCCTGCCCACAGCAGACGGGGAGCTGCTCCAGCCCCCAACAGTTAACTGGTAAGCCTCACCAATAAGCTTGTTAAGTCTGAGGCTTAACAGTTAACTGGTTAACCAGTTAAACCTTCACATCCCTAGTCCCTACAACTTGAATACCATTAGGTGTGTGATAGTAAGAGATTACGTGGTCACTGGAAATAGAAGCTATGATTATTCAGACAAGGCCCACCATAATTTAGCTCTCATTCTATAACAAACCCAGAAAGCAAGTACAGATTGTACCTCTCTAGTCCGGCACCTTTGCTGAACCAATGCTGAACCAGAAAATTTGCCAAACCATGGGAGGTAAATATTGTGTAGCAGCATTACCAACACTTTTACTGCTTTCTGGTCTCTTAGAAAACATTTAGGGCTAAATTAGAGCTAAATTACAGCACAGAACACTGAGAGCCAGGCCTGATTTGCCTATTGAAATGCTATTTGGACCTACAAATTTACATTTTCATGTTTGTTAAGTAGGTGGGAAAAAAGGCTGGCACAAAGAATTACAAATATAGTGCACTCAGGTTTTACATTAACAGTTTAAAAACTCCTTTGCATAAATGACCATTTACCCAAAATGCTTTATTGAAAAAGTTGAACTATTGACCAGTGCAAGCAAATGTGGATTATGTCAGGATCCATAGAGCCACAGATCTGGTGCTGTGATGCATTGATCCACAATTTTGAGATCCAAAGACTATACTTCTGTGGAAAGAAGCATTTGTAGGACAGTGGGCCAAAAACTTCATTATACCGCTGCAAAAGCAGCGAGGAGTCCTGTGGCACCTTGTAGACTAACTTCAGTTAGTCTATAAGGTGCCATAGGACTCCTCGCCGCTTTTGCAGATTCAGACTAACACGTGCCCCTGCCCGACAGCTTTTTTTG